AGATAGATAGATAGATAGATAGATAGATAGATAGATAGATAGATAGATAAATAGATAGATAGAGATAGGCAGGCAGGCAGGCAGATAGGTGATAGATTGATATGGATAAGTAGACAGACAGACAGACAAACAGACACAGATACATAGACAGGCATATATAGACAGACAGACAGATTTAGAAACACAGACATCTAGACAGATCCAAGTTCTACCCATTTTCTGTGGGCAGTGTATCTTTGTGGAACTTGGATGGTGTACCCTTGTGGAAGCCATTTTGACTTTAAAAAAAAAAATCACATCCTGCAGTTACCCCTAATAAAATTCTTTGATTATTTCAAGAATCACCAAGGAAAGAGCCTTGGAGCCTCGCTACAGCATACTTACAGGTACGTCTGCTTGAACAAAAGATTGGAAGGCTTTTCATTAACATGGTAGAGAGGGAATGGGTCAAATCCACCAATGAAATCAACTGAAAGAAAAAAGAATCCACAACACAAGCAATAACAATGGCACAATTGAAACACAATGAAAGGAAGGGGGGGGGAGAGCACGTAAGAGGATGCAAAGAGGCAGGCGTAAAACACAAAAGAAAAGGCAAACAAAGGTGCAAAATAAAAGGGCATGAACTCATCCAAGCAGGCAACAGCCCCGTTGATTTCTACAGGAGAATTAAACACAGGCTTAATTGTTCCATGTTTTTTATCATTTTGGACATGATAGCGCTAGGAAATTCCCCAAATTGTATGCAAACAAGCAATGCCCGATTCTATAAAATGAAACCCTGCAGATATAGACTTTAGCCATAGGATGCTACCCAAGCTGTTTAATTAATAGAATAACAGATAATAATTAACAGAGTTGGAGGATTAGGGACCATGGGACCTTGGAGGCTTTCTAGTCCAACCCCCTTCTCAAGCAGGAAAAGCTATACTATTTCAGACAAACGGTTATTCTGCAACCATCATAAATATGATCCAGTCGCTGAGTGTCCAAATTTTGATCATGTGATCCTGGCAATGTTGCAATGGTTGTAAGTGTAAAAAACGTTCATAAATCACTTTTTTTCAGAATAACAGAGTTGGATTACAGATTAACAGAGTTGAAAGGGACCTTGTAGATCATCTAGTCCAACCTCCTACCCAAGCAGGAGACCCTACATTGTTTCTGACAGATGGCAGTCCAGTCTCTTCTTGAAAGCTTCTAGTGATGAAGCTCCCACAACTTCCAAAGGCAACTTCTGTTCCATGGGTTGATTGTTCTCACTGTCAGAAAGTTTCTCCTTATTTCTAGGTTGAATCTCTCCTTGATCCGTTTCCATCCATTATTCCTTGTCTGGCCTTCCGGGTGCTTTGGAAAATAGCTTGACCCCTTCCTCTCTGTGGCAGCCCCTCAAATATTGGAAGACTGCTATCCTGTCTCCCCCATGGTCCTTCTCTTCACTAGACTAGCCATGCCCAGTTCCTGTAACCGTTCTTCATATGTTTTAGTCTCCAGTCCCCTAATCATCCTGGTTGTTCTTCTCTGCACTTTTTCTAGAGTCTTAACATCTTTTTTTATAGTGTGGTGACCAAAACTGGATGCAGTGCTCTAGATGTGGTCTTACTAAGGCTTTATAGAGTGATATTGATACCTCACTTGATCTTGATTGTATCCCTCTCTTAATGCAATTTGGGATTGCATTGGCCATCACCCACTGTTGGCTCATATTTAATTGGTTGTCCATTAAGACACCGAGATCCCTCTTACAGTTACTGCTGTTAAGCCTGGTTTCACCCAGTTCTATGTGTGTACTTTTGGTTTTTCTTGCCTAAGTGTAAGACTTTACTTTCCTCTATGTTGAATTTCATTTTGTTAAATAGGGCCCAGTGTTCAAGTCTGACAAGATCCATCTAGATCTTGAGCTTATCTTCCCTTTGCTCAGGCATTTCAGGCAAAAGTTTATCCAATCTTTTCTTAAACCCTTCCAGTGATTGTGCATTCACAACCTCTGGAGGCAAGCACTGGTTAATTGTTCCCTGTCATGTCCCTGTCAGAGTCTGAATCTGAGGAGGAAGATGAACAGCTGACAGGGAGTGGGAGTGTGGCTCTGTTGGCTGTGGAGGAGGCTGGGGAAGGCAAAGTCCAGCTGGGCAGAGCAGGGAGAGGTAGAACAAGGGGGAGGGAGTTCAGAGGAAGACCCAGGCCCACCCTCTCTTCATCCTAGGGCATGCAGGGAGGAATGGAGATGAGAGCAATGTGGGTTGCATGGCTTATGGGGGAGGAGAGGGCCCTGATCCCCTTCATTAGCTGCAGCTGGGAACACAAGTGTATAAAAAAGGAGAGCAAATGTGAATTTATCTTGTATCGTTGTGGCTTATCTGTGTTCCTGGTGTCTTCCCAACTGTGTGAGTTTTGCCGGGCTTTCAAGTTTGAAATTCCTGCTAGAAATTACTTCAGTTTACTTCAGTTTGGTTTGTTTGGATTTTAAGTTACAGTTTGTGTGCCCCTTGTTTTGGACTGAATTTTCTACAGTCAAAGACTGCTCCTGGGAGAGTTTTTCTCCAGCCAGAAGGCAACCTGGATATTGGGAGCAAAGTTGGAGCTAATAAAGGGACTCTTATTGCTTATCTGACTGTATTGCCTTTGTGCCATGCCCCGGGTCATCACACACTGTTGTTAAGTGAATCATTCCAGTTAAGTTAGGAACACAGTTGTTAAGTAAATCTGGCTTCCCCTTGATTTTGCTTGTCAGAAGTTTGCAAAAGGGGATCACATGACCCCGGGACACTGCGACCATCATAAATATAAATCACTTGCAAAGCATCTGACTTTTGATCATGTGACCATGGGGATTATGCTGCAACGATCATAAATGTGAACAACGGTCATAAGTCACTTTTTTTCAGTGCCTAACTTTGAACAGTCACTAAAGGAAGCGTTGTAAGTCAAGGACTACCTGTACCATTTGTATGAAGGGGTATGGGGTTTTCCTGCCTGAGCAGGGGGTTGGACTAGAAGACCTCCGAGGTTCCTCCCAACTCTGTTATTCTGATCAATCCGTGCCAGTTGGAAAGCACCCAAATTTTGATCATGTGACCGTGATGAGTGCAAGAAGCAGTCGTTACTTTTTTCAGTGCCCTTGTACCTTCAACCATTGACTAAAGAAACAGTTGTAAGTCAAGGGCAATCCATATGATTGAAATAATAATAATAATAATAATAATAATAATAATAATAATAATAATTATTATTATTATTATTATTAATAATAATAATAATAATAATAATGATGATGAAATTATTATTGTTCAAATAAAGTGATGCATTATTGAAGTACTGCTCATTACTATCACAATGATTCTCAATCTTTTCTCCACCAGGGACCCCCCCTTAAATACCTTTTGTGGCCACGGATTCCCCCAAGTGTCAACTCATAAAATATTTTTCTGGTCTTTTTAGAGTTGCCAACAGAAAGGGAGGTGGGAGCAATGCAGCAGCTTGCAATACCAAAACTGCATTCCAGAAATGTTTTCAAAGATAGTAACTAGGTGACTGAAGTTTCTGCCGTGCAAAATTCTAACTGGAGACTATGATTGATGAATTTTGGCTATGGATGTGTCCCATTGGAGAATATGAATTATGATACACCCAGGGGGTGGGGGAAAACCAGGGTCAAGGGTGACAATGAATGATATGTCTCAGCGACGGCTACACCCAGACAGTGCCAGACATATTAACTCCCAATAAATCCTTTTTAAGATTTGGAATTTGATTCGAGACTCATGATTTAAATGGGGGTAACTGCTGGAATCCTGACACCAAGGCTTAAAACTGAACCAATATTTAAATCCTAACATTTCTTCAGGCCTTCGTGTATCCCCCTGTGATGACCTTAGATTTATATGGCAATTTTTCTGCAGGGGAATCAGACTCCTAAGATTCTATTATAACAGCCTCTCTTCAATAAAAGAAATTTTGGGTCCTTTGTGGAGTTGATTTTTATGGTCTGACCCATCCCTTGGGGCTGACGTCACCTGACCGGGTACCTCTCGGTCTCCCCTGCTTCGTATCCAAGGAACAATTTCAAAGAATTGCAGAGAATAAAAGCACCGCCAATTAGTTCTGGTCAGTGGAAGGCCATGTCCTTCTAGAGTTTGAAATATCAGTGGTTTTTAAGGTATTAATTATTGGGTGACTTGGCCCCTTGCAAGACGAGAGCAGAGGAAGCAGCTTGAAACTAGCTATGGATTTTCTTCATAAATCATCGCCACACCGCTGCTTTCCATTGAAGTTATTGAGAAATACAGATTATTTTTTTCCCCCTCTCCAGCTTTGCTGCCTTCTTCTCTTTCCAATTCTGCTTCCCGTCCCATGTCGTTGTCCTTCTAAAATGCCAGCCCCATGTATTAAACGGACAAGTGAACAAGAGAAAAGATGAGACAGATAAAGAGATGAGAACGGAAGAAAGAGAAAAGCTGCTTAAATGTTCTTCCTGTCTCTATCTCTATTAATTTGGAGAAGGACAACCAATAAATGAGTGATGGTGCTGGGTAAATCTCAAATTGCCTGTTCTGACCCGGCTTCCAAACGCGACAAACCCTCTGTAGTTAAATAAATGTTCCCTTTAGTAGGAGTGCCAGCAGCCCCGGCAAAAAATCTCCCCCTCTCTCACAGCAGGCTAACAAGTCTGTCTGGCGGGCATATTCATCTCCACCCCCTGCCTTTTATCCCCAAAGCTGGGGCAGCTCGCTAGCAACAGTGGCTCTTCTGTCCCAAGGATCGTCCTATAGATTTCCACTGCTCTCCTCTCCTCTGCCTTCTGCGCATCCGCGCATCAGGCACTGGACTGTTGTGGGGCCCGCCAGCTGCCAGTGGAGCACCGTGGTGGCAGACTCGGATGATGATGAGGTTGGGGAAAAATATGGGCCATTTCTGGAGGCTGGGGAAGGCTCTGATGGATGCCCAGCATTGGACACGGAGATAGAGCCAGGGCCGTCCACCATTTCCCAGCTGGAGAGGCAGCTGCCTTTGGAGCTGGGGCCTGTTCCAGATGCATGTATGCACAGAGCAGATAGGAGAGGTGAACAATGGAGGACAGGGAACTTCCGGAAGCAAAACAAATGTAGATGCTGAAGGGCCCCTCCCTGGCTGGGGAATAAATAGGAGGAAAGGGGAGTGGTTTGATTGTCACAGATAATGGTTAGCATTTCTGGAAAGTTTGCTCCTTGTGTGTTTCCTGCGACAAAGACTGCCTTGCCAGAACGGAGATTTGTCTCTTTCTCTGTATGAACTGACTTCATTTGCAGCCTCCCGGCTGGGAGCTCACAGCATTGAATTGATCATAACAGAGCTGATAAGGGCTATTGCTTCAGTTAACTTCTTGCATGACTCTGGCCTAGACTTTCTGTTGGTGAAGGCAGTTAATTCCAATGTGTAAATAAATAGGGGTTTTTCTTTACGGGAAATCTGTTCCTTACTTCTGCAAAGGCCGGGTCAGAACATGGACCCAGCTGTTCCTCCTCTTCTTCATCAGCCCCTCCAGACCTGGGCGCTGTTGACTCCCTATCTGAGGGCTGATGGACGGCTCAGATTTCACCTGTCTCTCTCTGTCTGTCTCTGTCTCTGTCTCTCTCTGTCTGTCTCTGTCTCTGTCTCTCTCTCTCTGTCTCTGTCTCTGTCTCTGTCTCTGTCTCTCTGTCTCTCTCTCTCTCTCTCTGTCTCTGTCTCTGTCTATCTCTGTCTCTGTCTCTCTCTGTCTGTCTCTGTCTCTGTCTCTCTCTGTCTGTCTCTGTCTCTGTCTCTCTCTGTCTGTCTCTGTCTCTCTCTCTCTCTCTCTCCTGCAAGCTCCATTCCCTTCCCCCCCTCCAAGCTCTCAGGTTGCCTTGATGCTGGCCCTGACTCCCATGCTTCCTCCTCTTCCTCCTGCTCCTCCTCTGATTTGACTGCTGGAGGGGTCGGTGGCTGACTGGCCACAACATTGCCCTTAGCAGGGATGGGCTGCTAGCGGGTTCACAGGGGTCCAGGAGAGCCCCTAACTAAGATTCTGTGCAGTTCACAAATCCCCAAATCTCACTCCTGGCTGGTCCCACCCCTCCCCTCCCAGGAATCCCCACACAGCCCATTTTGGATGCAGGTAAGTTCAAGGTGCATGCAGAGGCTTGGGGAGGGGGGAAAAATGGGCCTCCCGGAAGTTTGGAAAGGCCGGAAATGGGCCTGTTTCCAGTTTCCAAAGAGCCTCCGGAGCCCAGGGAGGGCAAAAATGCCACTCCCTCTTTGGTGCAGGAGGCCGACTAGGCCACACCTACCATGGCCACACCCACCCAGCAACCAGGGAGAGAACCCTTTGCTAAAATTTTGGAAGCCCACCCCTGGCCCTTAGGGTCCCATGAGGATACAGGTAATCCTCGACTCACAACCAAATGTCCATTGGCTAAGCAAGACAGTGAGTTTTGTTCCACTTTACAGCCTTCCTTGTCACAGTTGTTAAGTGAATCGCTGCAGTTGTGAAGTCAGTAACCCGGTTGTGAAACGAATCTGGCTTCCCCCTCGACTTTGCTTGTCAGAATGTCACAAAAGGGGATCACCTGTGACCCCTGAGACACAGCCGTCATAAATACGAACCAGTTGCCAGACATCTGGACTTGGAACACGGGACAATGGGTTAATGTTGCGATGGTCGTAAGTGTGAACAACGGGCACAAGTCCCTTTTTTCAGTGCTGTTGTAACTTTGAACGGTTACTAAAATGAACGGTTGTAAGTTGAGGACTACCTGTATGGTGTTTTTTTCTATTTTAACCTTTCACTGTACGCCACCCAGAATCCTTCTGAGGGTGACGGTTGGGTCACAAATGTGAAAAATAAATGAGAAGAAAAAAGAAAAATAAGGTTTTCTCAAAAGATTTGCCTCCCCAGGTCCAGACATGAATGTCTGAGAAATTGAGGCATCTCCTTTTCAAAAATGAATCTCTCTCTCTCTCTCTCCAACTGGCCACTAAATCATTTTAGGCATATGAAATGCGATGCAATTTGCTTGCAGAGTTTCTGGTTACCATTATTTATCTTGGCTCAGGGTGAAAACAATGCAAGCAATTAATTGAAAGCCCTGGAAATCCAGAGGTCAGCTCTGCTGCCATTTGGATCAATAAAACCCCGGTCAAGAACACTTTTTTTTTTTTAAGGCAATTCTGAAAAGTAATTGACATACTAAACCCTAATCCCAGTTTTATAATGCTCGTTCTCTGATCTGCTGGAAGAAAATATACCCACTTGAAGCTAATGCATTGTTTAGTGGAGGATTAGTGATCTAATAGCATTATCTCCTGAGCCAGCCAATATATATTTTAGGCAGCAATCCCACAGTCTCTGAGAAAGTGTCTCAGGTACAAAGTTGTTTTTTTTCTCCTCTCCCATGCGCAGAGAGTAATTCCCAACTCAGATGTAAAAATCCAAAACAAGATTTCAAGCTGGCTGACGTGGAATCTAAATCTGCTTAAATACTGACCTTCCTTCCTTTTTTCCTCCCTTCCTCCCTCCCTCCCTCAATCCCTCCCTCCCCTTCCCTCCCTCCCTCCCATCTCTTTCCTCCCTCCCTCTCCCTCCCTTCCTTTTCCTTTCTTCCTCCCTCCCTCCTCCCTCCGCTTCTCCCTTCCTCTCATCCTACTTCCTTCCTTTCCTCCCTTCCTCCCCTTCCCTCCTTGCCTTCTTTCCTCCTTTCCTTCCTCCCTCCCTCCCATCTCCTCCCTCCCTCTCTTCCTTTTCCTTCCTTCCTCCTTCCTTCCTCCACTTCTTCCTTCCTCTCATCTTCCTCCCTCCCTCCCCCTCCCCCATCTTTCTTTCTTCTTTCCTTTTTTATTATTTTCCTGATATATTCCGACATCAGACTGTTTTTTGATGCATCGTCAGATTGCGCTACTCTTCCTCCATATTCAGTCTCCTACAGTTCTTCTACCAAGGAAGGAAGGAAGGAAGGAAGGAAGGAAGGAAGGAAGGAAGGAAG